TTTGTTAAGGTTCAGTGTTCAAAATTAGGTGAAGTTCTCAATTCATACTGTTTCCATGGCAACCAACACATAGAGTAACCAAATTTTAATATTTTTCCCCTTCAGTTTTTTCAGTTAACTTTATTTCCCGACTTACATGGTTTTTCAAACCAGTATGGAAGTTTCTACTTTACATTGTTTGTTTGATTCTGCTAACTTCACTTAATCAAAGTCAACACAATAATTCCCCAAAATGACCTTAATTTTTCAATTTTCCCATGTATGAGTTTTCCTAAACTTTTTGTTATATATTCAGATCATCTTATAGATTGATAAAAACTTTTTTGAAACTGTTGCAATTAGTTCCCATTTTGATGGAAAATTTGTTAATATGGCTGGACTATAATGTAAAGTAAAATAACATTCAAGCAAAATAATTTAAAATAAAATATTATGCATGGATAGCATTTATCGAAAAAATGTAACAAATCATTACAAAGGAGAAAACCATTTTTTCATAAATTAATATCAGAGGTAAGCAAACATAAGTGAATCTTAGATTCTTTTTATGTATCGTGAGGAGTTTATCCTGCGTACATAAAAGCGTTAAAAGGTTTTTTCAAGAAAATCCTTTATATATATATATATATATATATATATATATATATATATATATATATATATATATATATATATATATATATATATATATATATATATATATATATATATATATATATATATATATATATATATATATATATATATATATATATATATATATATATATATATATATATATATATATATATATTTATTTATCATAAAATACTTTAATAAGTAAAAGGGTTGCTCTTAATTTAACTGGGAAAAATGAAAAAAAAATAATTAATGAATATGACTTTTTGACAACTTTTAAAAAAAGTAAACAAAATGAATCCAGAATTATCCTAAAATTTGGTTTAGTTTTGACGTTAAAGGTGCATCGAAACAGATTTGAAGTTAATATTCTTCCTCCTCAATTAAAACTCATTCGTGTTCGAATGTATTGTTTTTATTCAAAATATATTATACAGAAAATGTTAACTTGAAATCTGTGTCTATGCACATTTAACTTTTGATTAATCTCGTTTAATGTCAAAAGTTTTTAAATTCAAAAGCCATTATAATTTCCATGTAAACTTATAATACATTTCATTAGAATTCATTTTTCTTTGTGTTTTCTTTTTCTTTCACTAAATTTGACCATAGAATATCCCTTCTACCCGATCAATACATGGTAATCACGGAAGTAAGGACTGTCAACAGGGGATGTTTGCTATTCATAGCCACCTGATCCCAACTCTAGAATTATCAGGCCCCGTGTTTTACATATATAACCTGTTCACACTCTCGTATAATGTGTAAAGTTTTTTTTTTAATTTCTTACATGATACTCCATAACTCTCTGTTAGTTTTCTTTTTGTGTGTGCAAGTTTTATTCTTTCAAATCACATATTGAAATTATAGTTAGCAGTAAAGTGAAATTTACATTACTGTAGATTCGAAGGCCAAAATTAAAAAGACAAACCTGCTTGAATTTGAAAAAATTATTTTACACATTTATATCTGTATGTTTTATGTGAAAAAAATTAAAAATAAACTGTGATTTATGCATAAAGGCCATTGACAACAATTTCTCTTAAACACAAGGCGTTTTTGCCGCCGATTGCCATATGGTCGTCTGTAATGTAGTTAGGACAGACTATTTTCACGGTGACATACGACCCATATAGAAGGGGTCTGGTTTCACACTCTATGGTGTGGATTTCTCCAGTTTGACTCGGTCCAAGGAATGTGCTACACATGTTCATCTCAGATTTTCTAGCTCTTATCTCAACACTATGTAGCCAGCGACCTGAAAAAAAAATGAAACACACGTACGTTTTTGATGAGAAATAAAACAGCTTATTTCAGATTAAAGTTACTAATGGTTTGAATGGTCTTCCAGTTTCCATCTAGTCCAGTCAAACTGTCACAAACTTTAAACAAATTGCAACAGAATTTTTTTCTTTATTTATAAACAGTAAATTGTATTCTAATTACACATGTAACATATAAAAACTCTAGAAAAATATATAAAGGCGAAAGATGTCTTTTTTTTAGAAGTTTGAAAAAATATGTATTTTAGAAATGTGCTACCATATGCAAGAAGGGAGACAATTTAAACCACTGTAAACAAACCTCTTTTCATTTTAAACAAGCATAATAAAATTAATAATTCATTTTGTATACATTCCAAGGTTTAAATTTCACCTACATGTATATAATGAAGATATAAGATTTGAGAATTTTTATATGTCTAAATGTAGTGTTAACTTCTCTTTTACTAGACGTTTGAAACATTAGGGGAAATAATCTATGTGAGTCGTTAAAGGTTTTATTGCAACATAAAAATATTTTATTAGCCTAAAAGTTAAACTTTTGTTGTTTGACTCCTTGTATATAGATTTTTTACAGAATATATAATTATTTGTAGATCTACTTTGCCCAAAAATCATGGAAAATTTAGGTCATTACATGAATCCTCTGATAAATCGATTAAACTGGCAAGGTCAAAAATTTTGTGAAGTTGAATTGTTGCAATTTTTTTTTCGTAATGAAATAAGTTTAATTGCATTTTCTATCAGGATTTATGATTTCTACAGTTTATTTTATTGTAATTTTACTATTTTGCATTATTTTTTGTCAAGATCAAACGTCGGCTTTGGTTGACATTTACACTATATGGTTATAATTTAATAACAGCAATATGAAACATATGGACACAAGGGATGGTTAAAAGGAATTTTTTTTAAGGTAAAATGTAATTAATTTCATATACCAAAAACAATATGACATATGTTTTAAGCTTTGTTTTCTGATTCCTGTAATTTCACATTTTGAAACTACACAATGTTTTGGACTTTTCCAAATTAATACTTTCACTTCTGCAGGTACTGTTTGTTTTGTTATGAGTCATTTGCGGTTTGGTATTCCTTCATTTATTTGCATTTGGGAACATCTTAAGAAAATTTTAAGTCATAAACAGATATTAGTTTGCCATAAATAAAAGGACATAGTTTTATATGAACTGATTTTTCTCTTAGATTTTTTTTTAGTGGGGGGGCCAGTACACTTGCAAAATGAGAGAGCTGAATGGTTTACAAAATTGTTGTTTCCATCTCGGTTTACAGCTATAAAAAATACAGATTTAAGTCTTTTGTTTGACGCCCCGCTTGAGGGTAACGTTTTACAAAAAAAAAACCATATAGAATTTGGCTTCAAAAACTTTTAGACAGCAGCTCAGGGCCATATGCAGACTTTCAGCCACAACACAAGGAGCAAATTCATTAGACAACGTAAGAGTCACAAAGTGCCAAGAGCTTAATTACTATCTGATATCATCCCTCCCTTTAAACACACACAATTAAAAATTCACAAAATTGATACAGAAAAACTAAATCATTCTGCTCAGATTGATAATAGATAGGATTGACTGGATACCTTTAAAGGAAGCATTTAAAAAAAAATATTAATAATTTCAAATCTCTAATGGGACTCTCTTTAAATGTAATACTCTGACATAATATAAGCATATTTCAAATGAATGCCCATGCATATGCATTTATTAACAAAGATATTGGGGGAAAGTGATCTTTAAACAAGTAAAAATGAAAATAATAGAATATTATAATTCCATGCTGAAAGATTGAAAACAGTAGAAATAGAATGGCAATAAAATGTCAAGAAGTCATAAACCTTAGAAAATGAATAAATTAGGAAATTTTATATAATAAAAAAAAATTAAATTAAATAAATATATTAAATTTTCTTTTAATTAATTTAAATGAAACATCATAATTTTACAAAATTTTACAATGATTTTAGTTTTACATGCTAAGCCTAATGGTAAACAAAATTTCACTTTTTTGAAATTTTTAGTATTTAAAATAAAAAGTTATGTATTCAATGTCACCTTTTACAAAGGATATTTAACTAATTTTATTCAAAATTGTTGTACAAAAAATGAATAATTTCTGGACATATTATGTCTATGCCCACCAAATTATCTGAACTATTTTGCATGTGTGACTCTCGTTTAAGAAGCATTGTCAAAAAATTTCTTAACATAAACCAATGAAAAAGCCATAAAAATCTAGGATGTCTGTGCTTATGGTCATACATTATCCCCTAAGTACATTTCAAAATTCAATTCAAAATTTAATTCCAATATTTTATATTTTTTTGCACCATTACACAAAATTAAAGATTGATCTTGAGTTTTATCACAAAATACCTTCTGTTATAACATAATAACTCTCAACATGAATTACCATTTTGTATTCATAGGATTATCTGCATGGTAAAAAAAATGATAAGGCACATTTCATATATTGGCATAAATAGAATTTTAGTATATCAAACCAAGGAATTATTGGCCTTTTTAAAAATATAAATGCCTGTTTTGAAACTTATCATAAAAAATTTGTACAAAAATAAAAACAAATCCTTTTTAGTGTACTCAACTAAGCTTTTATAAATACATTGTGTGTGTGCCATAACTCTCTGTTAGTTTTTTGCAGGTTTGTGTGTGCAAGTTTTATTGCTCACTTTCAAATCACATATTGAAATTATTTTAAAGAGTAAAGTGAAAAATTGCATTTCACTTAAACTTCGAAAAGGCCAGAAAATTATAAAAGACAATTACCACATGCTTGAAACTATTGAAAAATTTTTTGGTCAAAATTTTACACATTTATATCTGTATGTTTTATGTGAAAAAAATTAAAAATAAACTGTCATTTAATGCATAAAGGCCATTGACAACAATGAGAGGTTCTCTTAAACACAAGGCGTTTTTAACGCCGATTGCCATATGGTAGTTTATAGAATATAAACTGTCTTTTTGTAGGACAGATACTATTTTTCAATTACAAGTGAATACTACACATACAGACCTATTATAAAGGGGTCTGGTTTCACACTATTGTAGTTTGATACGGTTCAAGGAATGTGCTACAATGTATTAGGCCATCTCAGTGTTATTTTTTAGCTCTTATCTGGTCTAACACTTCATATAGTAGCCAGCGACTGAAAAAAAATATTTGAAACACACGTTTTTTGATGAGATAAAACATTTTATTTTTTAAAGTTACTAAATGGCTTAGGCGGCTCTTCCAGTTTCCATCCTAGTCCAATTTCAAACTGTCACAAAATATTTAAACAAATTGCAACAGAATTTTTTTCTTTATTTATAAACAAAGTAAATTGTATTCTAATTACACATGTAACATATAAAATGTTAGAGAAAAATATATAAAGGCGAAAGATGTCTTTTTTTTGTAGATCACTTTTCTAAAAAATATGTATTTTAGAAATGTGCTACCATATGCAAAAGGCCGAGACAATTTAAACCACTGTAAACAAACCTCTTTTCATTTTAAACAAGCATAATAAAATTAATAATTCATTTTGTATACATTCCAAGGTTTAAATTTCACCTACATGTATATAATGAAGATATAAGATTTGAGAATGTTTATATGTCTAAATGTAGTGTTAACTTCTCTTTTACTAGACGTTTGAAACATTAGGGGAAATAATCTATGGTGAGTCGTTAAAGGTTTTATTGCAACATAAAAATATTTTATTAGCTAAAAGTTAAACTTTTGTTGTTTGACTTTGTATATAGATTTTTTCTTCTTTAGAATGTTGATTCTTTTAGTGAGATCTACTTTGCTAGTAAAAATACATGTAATATAGATTAGAACATATACATTAGAACATCTTTTTAAAAATTTGTTTGGTTGCCCTCTCCCGACCGACTGATTAAACTGGCATGTCTCAAAACTTTTTTTACCTTTCCAGGACATGATTTTTTTCCCTATATATCCCTCTTATCTCGTTTTCTGGGAAAAGGATTTATTTTTGTACAGTTTATTTTATTGTACATGTACATATTTCTTAAACATTATGAATCACTTTGATTCACATTTGGCTTCTGGTTAGTTCTTTACATAACCCCGGAGCCAAGTAGGTTCACACAAGGGATTTAATTTTATAGGAAGTTTTTGAAATAGGCTGCACTGTAAGATTTTCATATACCTGTTTAAAACATATCCTATTATGTAAATAGATTCGTGCATTTCAGCTTTTTGAAACTACACAATGTTTTGGACTTATCCAAATTACAGCAGTAAGGGATCTTTTTCGTGGGACGTCGGTTTATAGGTCTCATCCAAAGGGCCCAGATCGATTGATTGTAATTTGTTTTACGAAAGTATTTTCCTATCACAATTAGTAAAATTTATCATTTAAAACTGCATAGAAAATTTTAATTGTCATAAGAAAGACTCTATGCCATAGATAAACAGCGCTAGTTTGTTTGAGTGTTGTTTAACATCCCTCTTGAGAATTTTTCACTATTGTGGGGACGCCACCATACACTTGCAAGTGGAGAGCTGCAAAATTTGTCCTTTACTCGGATCTCGGTTTACAGGTCTCATCCAAAGAACCCAGATCGGTTGATTGCATGTTGTTTTACGCCCCGCTTGAGAACGTTTTACTGAAAAAAAAACTTCACCATATACCGAAGGGCTTCAAAATACTTTTACTCGGCGCTCAGGGCCATTGAGCACTCAGGGTTCTTTATCATGCCAACGCCTACATATAACATGAAACGGTCTCATCCGGAAGACCTGCAACGTTTACTTCAAAGTGCCAAGAGCTTAATTACTATCGTGATATCATCCCTCCCACCACACACACAATTACAAAATAAATCCAAAAGAATATAAAAACTATCAATGGACATTACATTGAATACAGTGAGAAGCAATTCGAATACTATATTGAGGTTAACATTTAGGAGAGGAA